TTGTGAAGTTTGGTAGGATAAATTAATGTATTAATTAAATGATTACACTTTCATTGACTTTATATTTTATTAAAAGTATGTTGAATAAAAATGTGTTAAAATATTTTATTGAACTTGACCAGTTTCTAGGCAATTATATCCAAATCACGAGACAACTTTTTTGCCTAATATAAGATGTAAATGATAATGGCTTTTAAGTACAATTTTTTATTTGCAAAACGTTTAGTAATTAATTAAAAATTGTTTGACTTGGGAAATAATCGCACACATTTACTATCGTACTGTAATTAAATTGTTGAGGACTATTTAAACTGGTAGGTATTTTAAATTTTATATTTAGCCTTTTACCTCTATTACAACTGAACACTAGCTGATTACAATAAAATGCAGTGAAGTTGAAATATTACATCGTGTCATGCGATCGTTCGTAGTTATCGCAGACCGTATTGCGAACGGTCTTGCCAGAAAACGCGAGCGCTTCATTGCCATTTTTATGATACTTTGATATTATGTTTTTCAAAATTAGCTACTCCATCCGTTCGTCGTTTTATTGCGACATGTGAGTGTGTACATTGTTGTAGGGTACTGAGCGGTGCACACAGGTCGTTTGGAAATAAAAGTTCGAAGGATAGTTAGGTAGTATTATGCACCAATATGCCGTGCAAAGTAATGTACCCACTTCTGAGTAATATTATAAGTTGATTTTTTACTTGAGTTTTCGAGATTTGTGATGAGAAGCTATGCATGTTATGCTCTGATATTTTACATTTTATTTTTACGATATTATTGGGCTGTGAGAAAATAATATTTTTTGTATTTTAACTTGTCAATACCGGATTAGTGCTCAATAAAATGTAATTAAAAACAAAACACTAGATTATCCGATGCAAATTATTATATTTGATGTTCATGAAATTTTATTTGAATGATTAAACTTTTAAACTATTAAAATCAATTAGTATTTAATAATATTTTTCATCACTTTTTTTAAAAACATTTTAGGCACTAGTTTAGGGGAATATTTAAATCACAAATGTAGGCGATATGAATGTGTTTATATGTACCTATTGTAATATTATTTTAATAAAAACATTTCAATTTAATTTTTAAACTTTTGAAATTTTATGGGAATATATGGACAATTCATTGTTTCCTGTACACTCTTTTAATATGGCTTTTAATGTAGTAATTTCATAATTTCTTAAATTTGTTGGAATTTATGAATCTTTGTATTTTATATTACCTATTTAACATAATATTTTGTTGGTTAATATTTTTCAGACTTTATTTTACAAAATTACATATAAACATTTTTATCTATTTACAATAAAATAAATTGTAAAAGTATCAAACAAATCGTTTTAATTATAAATTTTATGGTTAGTCAAGATTGACAAAGAAAAGAATGCGGAATCATCTCAGAGAACCTATTATCAGTGTTTTACTCGAACATTCTATTTGTAAAAGTCTAATGTGGACGGTTAAAACGGAACACTAAACACATCTCTGTTTTGAAATTTAATTAAAAATTAAATTTCTAACCGAATAATTCATGAAGGACCTTAGAATTGTTCACAGGTAATAAGTTTTCAGTTTTAACAATAATCATCAACTTCAGAAAAAATAAAAACTAAACAAGTTTCACACTTTTATATCTTAAAACTAAATATTGGTCATAGTTGTATGTATGTAAGAGTATTATCTTAACTCTATAATATTTATATTATATGATGCTGTTATATTTACCTACATTTTTAATAACAATTTAACTAATAATTGTTCAATTTTCATTTGATTATGTATTTGTGTGTAGGTTCATAATACGTAACTATGTTGTAATATTAGGAAACAGAACTTTAACAGGCATTCAAAATTTTTAATAATTTACAAAATATAAGAAAAACATATTAGTTATTAGCTTAAATTATAATCAATATAAAAGAACATTAAGTGTCTATACTTACCTTAATCTTGTTTTATTTATACACAAGAATAAGCGCAACAGATCAGATAATTCATCGCCGGAAGGAAGACAAATGGTTAGTTTCTGTGAATGGACGTAGGATTTGCTTTGAATATATATGAACATAATATTGTGTACCTATAGGTATTCTGGGCTTTACTGTTGACGCAATATTGTCTTTATGACATTTACCATCTAGAATTCCATGGTTTGATAAGCGGCGAAGATTTATACTGTAAACATAAAGCAGACTTTTATTATACGATTAACAATTAATTAAAGGAACTGATTATACAACTTATTGTACATTTAACATTTCTGAAGTATAAGTTGAATAAGAAGTCTGAAATATTAAACTCGAAAACGTAATCAATCAAATTAAGCACTATAATAGGGCTTACTATAGCTTTCTACAATGTTTAAACTAAGATTTATTCGACTTAATATTCATCCTATAAATTCGGTGTATTGTTTGACGCTGTGGTGTGAATAGATCGTGTTTTCACTTTGTAGATGGAATGGGATGGAGTCAAAAATAACAGCTAGGTAGCTGCTTGCAAGGCGCTTGTATAAATTACAATAATTGTAATTTATACAAGTAAATTATTTACTTAAATCATCATCTGCAGATTATATCAGCCAGTTGATCGATGCATTGATATCATAACATCGCTACAATTATTACAATATTACCGTTATTATTATAGTTATTATAGTCATACAAATAAAAAGTCTTTAAACGAAATTCCCTTATTCCGTTCGTTAAATATGCCACTGATAATAGATGACCTAACAAGCTCTTGGCTCATCTTAAGCATAGTTACCGGTATGGTACCTATAAATGTCCACTATAAATAAAACATAAAACTAAAATATTAAATAATGTTTATACCTATCTATTCTGATATTTTAGCATTATATTTCAGTATTTTCGAATAACAGTTGAGTAATGTAATAACTACTGATCAATGAATTTAATTCAACTAAAAAAAATGTAAACAATCAATTTTAGTAGATCATTTCTGCTTATATAGACTTTAAATGTATACGATATTTCTTTAAAATGTTGTTCATATTATTTTATATAATTAATTCAAACATAAAAATATAAGTAACATTACAAATTTATCATTATCAAAAAAAAAATAAAAATAAAAAAATGAAAAAATATGAAAAGAGCAGCCAAAGGGTAGGCCATATTTACTTTATAAAAACTATTTAAAATTCCATTAATTGGTACTTAAATTTTATAGATTTTTGAACTGCAAATTATATGCTAGGTTAAGCTAAATGTTCGTATAGCTTTGTGACAAAATCTCACGATAGACATATTTTTAACTACAAAACCTCGGAAAAACATTGAATCTTTAAAAATTAGAAATACTTAGTGGTTTATTTATATTGCAAAAGTATTTATGTACGATTGATCAACGTGAATAGGTACCGAAATGTACAACTTTATTATCTGCTATAGAATCAGTTTTATAAATATACTTAGGTAAGTTAATTTAATATTTATTTTTTTAAAGTTAAATTAAACTCTTAATCTAAAATAAACTTCATCCACTATAGGTATACGAGTAATCTATAGAAAAAAATCGAGAGAATTCAACCTCGTTTCAAACCATTCAACATTTTTTCACTACCTAGTTGACATAATATGTACCTAACGCAATAATCAATGAATATTCTGTATGTCTTTGTATGGTTCTAAACGGGCTGTTTGGTTAGTGGTCGCCCCTTACGGAAACATATATATAATGCAGCAATGCTCGATTTTTCAGTTTCCGCGATGAAGGATGAATGTATTGATTTTACAATGATATGTACGTTTTTTGTATCTTTAATCACATTTTGTGGTAGTAAAAATACTTTGATTTTCTACTTCAGAATTTGTTCTGGTATAAAAGTGAATGTAACTGGGAGGTTGGGGGGAGGATTAAATAATTCACAGTAGTTTCGATGACGTAAAAAGGAACAAAAAAAAAAAAAATTAAGAAAAACTGGGAAGTTTTGATTTGATTGATTTTATTTTATTGGACACTGAAAAATAAATAACCATAGATATTTAAATTTTTCATCAAAATTTTCAAAAGTGTAAGTCTCATTTTAGCTATTTATTAAAATGAGAAATTATCGATTTTTTTAGTTTCTATTCAATTATTATCGATAAAAAAATCTTGATAATGTAATAGAAGTTTCCACATAAGATGTTATTAGTGAAATCAAGAAAAAAAATAAGTTTTTAAATGAACTTATCGTAAATTAACAATACATTTATATGACCGTTAAAAGTCTTGAACCTTGACAAAAGAATAAGAATTTTGAATTAGTTATTCATATAAACATTTTTCTTCGTGTATCTAAAATTTAAATATTTAATAACGTCAAAATCGTTTTAATAAGGTAAAAAAGTTTGATAATTTAATAGAAGGTTCCTCAAAAGTTGTTAGGATAGCAGTTAAAAATATTTAAGTTTACTTACAAGCATGCATTTTTTATACTTATATTTAAAGTTTAAATTGTTAAGAAAATTCTTCAAAATCTCGAAAATTTGTTAACAATTATAAGTTTAAAATAAATATAAAGTGTTCGATTTGTATATCTGACTAGCTGAGGAAGATTAAATATTCAAAATATGATTTCTCATAAGTAGTTCATACTGAATGCTGAAATAAATATTTGGTTACTGCAGATTTTTAACGTAAAATGTAAATATTTCATTGACATTTTTTGTATTTTTTTTTTTTTTTTTTGAAAACATTAACTCCGATGATTTATTTTTGTATATATATGTATTCTAATATTATCCTACCTGCTTCATGAATCATATTATCATAACAAAATTAATTATATCCCTAGGTCAAAATGTATATTGTATACTTATTTTATAATTTCCTCAATTATTATAATGAAATTTTAGCGATTGACCACAACAATGGTCTGCAAACATGTACCTACAGTATATTAACCCACGCCTCAAAATGTTGGGAACCGCTGTACTAAAATATAAGTACTACACTTATACTTTTCCATTTTAGCCACCACTATTACAATAATATAGTTTATATAAAAAAATTATAATTGCCTGCGGTGTAGCTGTCACAGTATTGTCGATATGTTCGCCGTTCGGCTTCATGTTCATATAGTGCCCTTGTGAAAAGTGTCTGGGTCGTGACATCAATGACTCGTAGCCAGGTCGTTTTTTACCCGCAGTGCCGTTGGAAGTGACCGCCGCCGCGGTGATCGGTACGATGGAAAACGGATCATCATCGCTGTCTCCAGGTTGGTAATTATTTGTCTTCTCGTGACGCATCAGTTCTTTTAGCTCTTGGAATCTATCTTTGGCTGTCAGGCGCATGATAACAGGTATTTTAGTCAAGGGATGATAACCCAGACGAAATAAATTTGCTTTTCTCGTCAACTGATCGTCCATGATAGCCCTCGTTGTAGTGGTCAGCCTAGCGATTTTTTCAAACGGTCTAAGTTGCCTGTAAATATGAAACCTGTAAATTCATAATAATAATATATTATTAAATGCGAATAATTAAAAAAATTTATCAGTTAGGACTAAGAATTGAATAGGAACACTAAAAATTCATGAAATTCTGAATTGTGAAATATTACAATCTACGATAAAAAAAAATTTTAGTACTTTATTCATGCATAATTTATGGCTTGAAAGGAAAAAATAAATAATATGCGTATTATAATGTATAGTAAATGTATAAATAAAAATAAAAATCTTATTATGAAAACAATAAATAGATAAGCTTCATAAAATTACATTTATTTGATGGGAGGATTTAATACCTATGTAAAATAAACTGTCAGTATATTATGAAAAATATCATATTTATTTTATTATAGCTAATTGTAAAATGTAATGTCACGTAAAAAATGTTTTGAAAAAATATGTTATGGAACAACAAAAAAAAAAATCTGTAAAATAAATTATTGTAGTTTCTCAAATAAGATTTTATGGTTGATTTTATCCATAGCTTTTGAAACATATGTATAAAATGTATTACGCCCAATTAAGCATTGCAGTCTTCAAAAGATTCTAAAATAATATTTTTGGTTAAAATTAAATTATTTATTACATCTCAAGATCGCCTCTAAATAAAACCAAATTGAGTATTGTTGAGAAACGTAGAACAATAATATGTTATTTTTAAAGATATTAATTCTTAAAAGTGTTTAGGAATAATATTGATAGTTTCAATATTAGAGGTTGATTTAAAATAGAAAAAATGTTCAGCACGTGGCTTAAAGTAAAACTAATATTTATTGTAAAGAAATATATTTGGAATACGGTTGGGATCGTCTAAAATTCATAATAAAACATATAAATTAGTTAAGATTAAGAAGTTAGAAAAGGAATCATTAAATGGAGTTAATTAATTTATGAAAGATACTTAGTTCAAGTAAGAGTAAATATTAACAAATAATTCAGGAACGCGATTGACGATACCTTGGCCATTGTTAACCTAGGCTGGACCCCAAGATACATAAAACTACCTATTTATAATATAATTATGAAAATCCCACTTGTTTGAACTATTTCAAACATAGTATATGTATTACAGAATTTGAATATTTGTCAATAAAATAAGGTTTAAAAATCAACCAACTTAACCTCAAACCAATGATATTTTGATTTTTGTTATTTCACAATAACCAAATTAGTCGTTATTTTGGTTTATTCACAATAATTTTTAAATTATATCTGTGAAATAACCATAATCTATGTAAAAATGTAACCTAAAATTGAAACACGGACATTAAAGTATCTACCTATGTGTATTTACCTAACGAGAAAGCTGTTCGTTTAAAGTTGCTAAATTGAGGAATACACTATACGATATCATGTATTTGTGCTACTGACATACAAGTTAAAAATACTTTTAATATGCATTTTAAAAAGGTAAGTATTTATTACTTAAGTATTAATTTAGTAAGTATTAATTTTAGTGGAGAAAAGTAAACTGTCAAATTCCGATGGAGTTAAACATAAAATTATTTTTGGGCATTTTTTAAAATTATTCGCCCCTCTTACTATATATGTATGAAAAAAGAAGATGTTTTTTTTGATTTAAAAAACTTATCTCCAGATTTTAACGTGGCGTATTTATCCGAATTTTCTGATTACAATATATCGAACAATACTATATCATTGAAGGATGTTCATTTCTACCATAAATTTAGACCGAACCTCCATCTGAGGTAAGTGCACCACTACAAATTGCAATGAATCATTTCATAAACCTTTTAACTCTCAATTTTATTCTCCTCATCCTCCATTTATTATGTTATTACAAATATATAATAAACTATTATATTAAAATGTATATATTTACTTTATAGTATTTATCATTATTTTGAAAATGATTAACTTTTTTGTGGTTTGTCTTAAACGGTCTTAAACGATCTTAGAGGATAACTAACGGCAACGTTGCATGAAAAATGGGTGCATTTGGGCTATAATCAAGGTTTTAAGTCTTTTATTTTGGGGGAAAATGTCAACCTTTCAAATAGTATTCAATGTTTTATAATTGCCATGGTTACCAAAAAAAAAAAAAAAAAATAGTAACGTATTGAAAAATAAAAAAGCATTTTAGATGAAATACTTACTACCAGGTACTAAATCACGAGATACATAGATAAAAATCTAGGGGAGTTGTCAAACATAGTGAACAGGAGCGATGTCCCATATTATTTTTTAAATATTTAATCACAAAATACTGGTTTATAACGAGTCTATTTTACTGAATCATAAACAAAATGATTGATCGAGAATTCGACGAGATAAACTGTCGAGAACCGTCTAGGCACCTTAATAATATCAAATATTAATCGTAGTAAAATGTCAGTTCTTAACTATATGACGTATAGTAATATTCTGATAAGTTTGTGTGTATTAAAACAACGTCTGAACTCGTGTAATAAGTTTTAAAAAAATATTCTGATATTTAAAAAAATACAATCTTCTGGATATTGTTTCCTTCGGTACTATTGTTTTATTAATAATATTAATAGCATAATATATTACCTGTCTGGTATGGTTCGTTCAAACATCATTGATTTTTGTCTGTTTATATATCTCGGCTTAATGTAATCTTCCCATGTATTAAATGCAAACGGATCGAAAGTCAGCGGTAAACTGCTAGCTGACTGTGTCAATTGATTTTGCCTCTGATAAGTGCGCCACATCATACGCAATTCAAGGCAGCTGGGTTCGTCCAAAAAATCTTCTGGTTGGGAAATAATTTTTACATCATTAATTACGTCTTGTCCAATTTTTGGATCAGGTTTCCGACGATCTATGACTGTTACTTTAGGACCATACATTTTGACCCTAGGGTGAGTCGTACAATCCGAATACTTATTGAGTACTAATATGAGTGAGATGTACAATACGACGCTGATTTTCATCAGGTCCATCTATAAAATTAAAACAAATATTTCATTTAATTTCTCTGAACGTCATATTACAAGTAAACGAGCATATTATGCTTATTATAAAAAATCAAGTGGCCTAAAACCATAAATTAATTAATTAATGAACAAATGTTTACAAATTGTTATTTAAAAGGTTTAATTAGGAATGATGATATAATGTGTTTATTATTGTGTAGGTACGTTTTGGTTTTGTTCATGTCGTATTTACAATATTATAATGAGGAACGAAATTCTGTAAAGAAGAGATTAATGGAAATCAATGAATGCGACAAGCCTTGTACCTAAAAACGATTTGCCCAACAAAGCGACCATTTATTTTCGTTTGAAGAATTTATTGAATTTAGTTTTTCATTAGAAATCCAACAATTTATTTTTAATTAGAAGATAGACTTAATGGCAGCTACTAAGTATCTATATAGTACATATTATATAATAATATAATATTGTATTGTTTTCAAATAGAATGGTTTAAGTGTATCAACAGACGTAATTAATTAAAGTGCTGTATTTAATATAATATATTATTAGGTATTTGTATTAAAATATATCGAATGCAACTTAAGACTGTAATCAATTTTAATAGTGATTTTCAGAATTAATACCTGTTTGTATCGAAACAATGTATTATAAATTCAAAAATATATATTAATACCGGTTATTGTGGTTTTGTGGAAGTATATCTACCGATTTTTATTATCATCGATAGCTACAAAACAATGCAATAAAATTGTTGGCATTTAGTTAATTATTTTTATTATAACGATAGAATGGTATTACTTAAGAATCTGATTAAAGTAAGAAATATACTATTAGTTAGGTTTAAGTATTTTCAAACTTTTTCTGTTCACGATTTATTCTGTTGATCTAAGGAAGATAATTTTCCAATATTTCCAAGAACGTAGTCAAGTTGTTAAATTACTTATTAATTTTAACTTTTTAGTGACGTTTTTCATTAAGTAAACTATCAGTTACTATGTATTAAAATTTAATTTTTTTTAAAACTTTTATTATGAAAAAAAGTATTTCTTAAGACCTAAACATTGGAGTACTAAATACATCATTATGAGTTAAAGTGGTTGATATTAAACTATATTTTGTATACACTATTGTAAGTTTGTTATTTTTATTTATTTTTTTTTTCATTCATATTATTATGACGTGTAACATGTTAGCAATATAAATATATAATTATATTATTACTATATATTTTAATAATGTAAATTGATGTTATGCAATTAAACTAGTCGTTGAGACCAAATTAAAACTAACGAAGGAATAAATAAATAATTAAATTACTACATTGTCTTATAATATAATAGGCATTCGATCTTTTTATTGCTAAATTATCAGGCAAGTACAATATTTGCAAACGTAAGATTTGTCCAAAAGGTAAATATTTTAATGGACTTTTAGAAATCTTGGAGAATTTGTCAATAAATACTATAGACTTGTTTGTGTTTTTTATCATAAACATTTTAATGCTGTTATGAACAAGAAAAGTTAATAATTAGTTAGATGAAAATTCAAAACTTATTTTAATCAAGTTACACGTAAAGTTAAATTGATTATTGATATTATAGATACGTATAAAATAGTTTAAAACAAATAATGTATCTTTGTATGTGGAGACATAATTATAAATATTAAAAGGTACGTTTATGAAATAATTTAATAATTATTAATTTAACTACTGTAAAAACATGATATTGACTTATAAACTGGTAAAACCAATAATCAAGCTGAAATTAGTATTCATTGCAAGATAGTCTCTGAGTTACCTCCGGAACTGACTTTAATTTTGACCTATTTTGGCAGTCGCAACAACAAAAAAGTTGAGAAACTATACAGTACGATACACTATTATAAAAGTATAGCTAAGGTGATCATATTTCCAAAATAAAAAAAAAAAACAGTTTAATCGTTTTTATTTGGGCATAGCTCTAAAAAAAAAAAAAACATTTAATAATGTTAAATCGTTTTTATATTATTTTCAAAATGTCTTAGAGATAACGTTCCTTGATAGTAGGTAAGGTTTGTTGTTAAAGCGTGTGACGGTCGTGCGAGTTCGTAATAAAACACTGTGAAATACGATGTGTCTCATGCTTATCGCTGACCATATTGTTCTCCTGTACTCGACACTCGTTACATAAAAACTGTTACTCATAACTATATTTTGATTCAATTTTATACACATTCTATTGTATTTATTTCGTTCACAGGTTGTTTTCGTGTATTCTGGTATAATAATAACATGGGCACTATCTTTTTTAAACGAGATAAAATGCGTCCCGTTTGAAGTTTGTTCATTTATTTTAGGACAAGACCACACGAATAAACGATACTTGAAAAGAGACATACTATGGTCGCCATTGTATACACTGCACTAAACTGGGTCATACAATTAAACAATTAGGTAATGTTTTAATAGTTTAATTGAAAGTTATAAGATACTTTCTCTTAATCGAAAACTTCTGAAAAAGTAATACAAATTACCTAAACTCAGACCTATAATTTGAAACGAAAATAATATGCTGCGTTCACTTCATGTTATACTGGGTTTAGACTTTCAAATATATTTACCAACTTAATTTATTAGTTTATGAAAACAAATAAAAACCAGTTGACCGGTGTACACGACTATAAACATAGCAGATTACACTATTACTGTATACGTTTGTACCTTTTTCAGAATTTATGATTCAGCTTAATTTTTTTTCCAAATTGTAATAGTGCATTAACATATTTTACTAACAATAACATTAGTTACACACTAATGCCAAGGGTGGAATAATAACCATTTGGACTGAATAATTTTAACTCGCAAAAGTTGTAAGTGCAATCCGCAAAAGTGAAATCATAGTGTTTTATTATTGAAGCAACTGACGATTATGAGATATGAAAGTTATAAGTGTACCTAAATAGCCTATCTAAAACGCCGTGTGATCGTAATTTTGTGATTGAATTAATACAATAATTGATATTAATTCACATATTATATAAATACTATATATTTCTACCCATATTGTACTATTATCGCAATCGCATCTGGTGAATTCCATTATTTTATTTAGTTCGATTTTTCTAAACGAGTATCTATCAAATATAATTATTTTATTATATAATTATTAATTTCTGAACAATTGGTAATCTGACATTACTAAACGATGCTTTTATATTAAGTATGTTTAAAAAAATAATAATAATACCTAACTTCCTAAATAAAAATAAACGATAAGCTCTGATATACGTATATGGATTACATGCTATATACATTCTAGGTGTATAAAAATAATTGTTTTTTAATGTTATTTTTTTTGCACGCTAAAAGCTATTAAAGTAAGTCCGACTGCACAAAGCGATTTAAAATAAAATAATAAATATATATATATTTATTTCAAGGTTCGATTTCAACGAACACAATAATAAGTTCTTAGACTGTTATTGAACAGCGATAAAAGCGTTTTGAGAAAATAATAAAGAAGAAAAAAATAGTTTCAAAATAAAGGTTTATGTGGAGTTATAATATTATTTATGAATACTGCCACGACCGTCCGGTGGCTGCACGTAAAAACAACACGTAGCTATTTATTGATATCGAAAAATAAGGTGGATTTTTGTTTATAAATAACAAATATAAAATGCAAAGGCGCAAAGACGAGAAGGTCACCTCCCACTCATCTACAGAAATTGCTGACTTCTCAATTCGGATCCTGTCAGCGGTCACATTTTTAATAATACGCAAAATAAATATAGTGTGTGAAAATATTCTTGAAGATACGCATATTTTTATTTGTAATAATCGATTCGGGTTTACAGCAACGATTCCTGGAATATTATTTAAGTTAATTCTTCGACAAAAATGTAACTACACGTTTCACAATATTATGTTACCAAGTTAATTATAACATCTCATTCAAATTCATTTAACAATAAACTCGAGTAGGTACACATTATTATGATATTTCTATCATCTATAGCTTTCTGTAATTTTTACAAAGAGAGTAGGTATATTCTATATTATTGGTGGTGATTCTGGCCATATATTTTTGGTGTGGAAATTTATAGTATACTCATTCTATTAATTATAATAAAACATCATTCACTAACTGTACACGTATCTACATCACATAAAATTAAAAAACCATCTAAGTTTGTTTTGTCTGGAGCAAAAACCTGCAAAATAGAAGTAGGTAAAGTCAGTATTTCCAATAATAAAACCAACTGCTTCCGTTCCTATAATATTCATAATAATTTATAAGCAATTTAACTTATGATATTCTTAAGATAAAAAAAAAAACGGAGGAACACTTGTTTTGGTAACTGGTGTTCAAAACGATGAGAAACGTCATCTCAGCTGGTTGACTAAGTTGCGCATGCGCAGTTCAGTATATTTTATAATGGTGTGGGTGTGTGACGTGTATGTATAATTTTTATTTTTTTCCTTCAACATAAGGATACACTACTTCTATGTTATTCATGATTTACGATAACGTAATGGTTCTATGCAATGTCTGTTTTCCTATAAATTATTGAAAAGTAGATTTAATATAATATTAAGTAGGTACTTAGTGAAAAACATATTATAATTTACTCAACATTTTAGGTGAGGTTCCACCTATCATACTCACCAAAACCGTACTTGTGAATTAGTGCATTTTCGATGGACGATAACGGAAAGGGGTCATTAAGGGGTGTTGTATTCATAAACGCGAAATAAATTAAACATACATAATATTATAAACAAAACTACATTTAAATTTGGAAAACTGTTTTACTAAATAACATTACAGGTAGGTATAGTGGTGTTAAACAGACGCTACATCGATGACATTATTTATTATTTACTATTTTACCGTATAGCTCAGTCACTTATAAGTTATAATGCAATTTAATGAGGAGAACGTATAGCCGAAGCTTAGTTTGTAAACTGAAAACGCTAAATAGTAAATAATATTATATTAAGTAAGTACAAAAATAAAAAA